ACGATCTGAAGAGAAACCAGAGTATGAAAAACTCAGCTGTATGGAGCTTGTCAAATGCATTGTTTAAATTCATTTCAGTTTCGTTTTCAAAACTTTGGGACTGAAATGTCTTTGCCGGCGAATGATCCGATTAAGACTTACATAGGGAGAGTGAATCTGTGTTAGACCTGATGGATTAGGGGAATTTGGTTGCACTACCCATGGGTGATCAGGTGTGTGGTTTGGACTTGCTCCTGAGGTCTCAGATGATTGCTGAGACCAGGGGTATTCTTTAAGCCATTGAATGAAGTTGTCGAGTTGTATTGTTGCCCCATAGTACCTTGGATGGATCTGCTATCCCCTTTGTTTTGTGTTCCTTTTGTTTCTTTTTCTTTAAAACATTCATTTGTCAGATCTCTGATCTTCCCCTTTCTGTCAGCAAGGTTTACAACTTCCCCCACCCTTTCTCCTTTCTTTTCTCCTTTTCTGTCTGTGGCATGGCAGAATGAGTGAACAAGTCATTCTGCTACCCCATCAATCTTGCTGTTGCCGCCAGAATTAGAGAACTCTGACTAGTTGCTGACTTTCCTCAGTGGAGCCAGAAACATTCTGAATGGTTTCCAGCGCCCTCTGCTGGCTTCAGGATGTCACGGAGAGAATTTATTTAGTCAGGATGTCACAGAGAGAATTTATGATGTCTTCATGCTGTCAGAAATTGACTTCTGACACATATAAACCAGATTATCAAGTCAGATATTCCACATAATCTGTTTTGAGCTGGATTATATGAGCTGCTATATAATCCAGTACAAATCAGATAATCTGGATTTTATATGGCAGTGTAGATTGGATCTCAGTTCCCAAATAAAAAATCTGTCTTGATCAAAACAGATTCAACCAATAGATCATCCAAAAAAGTGAACTTCCTCATTTGTACAAAATAATGTTAGTGAATTCCTTTAAGTCTAAAGTCTGAATTAACTTGATAGAATCTTGGGAGTCAGGAGATTTAGTGGTGCACAAGGCCAAAGGAAAAAGGAGGATTACAATTGTCATTTTTCATCTTAAAGCTAAAGCCCTTACAAAGTCATCCAGAATTGTTGGAATTCTGACATAGTGATACCTTTGTTTTCTGATGGCTCGGTGTACCAAAGCTTTGTTTCATGCCCAAAATTAATTTAAAAATATTATATAAAATAACTTTTAGGCGCTATATGAAACATAAATGATTTTCATGATTTGACTTTGATCTCCAAAATTTCTCATTAATAAAGGTATTCCAAAATGCTAAACATTTCAGGTCCCAAACACTTTGACTTGGTCCCCTTCCACACAGTCATATAACCCAGGATATCAAGGTTGAAAATCCCACAATATCTTGTTTGAACTGGGATATATGGCAATGTGGACACAGATAAACCAGTTTAAAGCAGATATTCTGGGTTTTTTCTGCCTTGATATTCTGGGTTTTACGGTTATGTGGAAGGGCCCTAGGGCCACTTCTATACAGCTGAATAAAATCCCACATTTTCTGCTTTGAACTGGAATATGGCAGTGTGGACTCAGGTAACCCAGTTCAAAGCAGATAATGTCAGATTTTCTATGTTGGTATTCTAGGTTATATGGCTGAGCAATAAGAGGTTGAGCACAGCATCTCGTCAGAGCCGGCTCCCTTCCCCCTCAAAATCTGACCTGCTGTTGCCTGCTTCCACTGACATACCATCCTCTGTCGCAGTTTCCCGCCACTAATCACTGTTGGTCACTGGTTACCATTGTTAAGATTAGCCTAGGTCCCAATGTTTTCCATCACCGTCCTGATCGGCCTTGGGCCCAGCTATCACCCTGTGGCTACAAAATTGGAACCAGACCGTGCCTTCCTGTGCAGCTGGCTGGTTGTGGAAGAGATTGCCAACGTCCCTCTGTTGGCGCCAGTGACTCCAGAAGGCTATGGAGGTTGCCACACTATCGCTACCGCCACCCTCAGAGACTACCGCCGCCGCCGATGACATCCAGAAGCCCGTCTACCGGAAACCGCCTGCTTGCTTTGGCTGGCATGGCTTCCATCCACTGTGGCCATCCTTGTTCTGCTTCCCACTCCGCCCCTGGTTGTTCCACCGCTCCATTGCTCTCTCCCCCCCCCCCCAATCACACGGATGCCTCTTTACCTTGCTGGCCTTTTACCTCTTCTGCTGAGAGAGTAAGCTGTGCCGCCTAAATTACACCTTTGGTGACCGCCGGGTGAAATTTGTGCAAGACACTGAGGGCAAGGACACGACGAGCACTTGCCATCTTGGAGATCAGAGACTATTTGCTGCGGAGGTCCCACTGGCATTTACCATCGTTGCCGGACCATCCCAAGGACTACAACTCTCTACCGCTGCTCCTTATTATACTATTTGGGTGATATACTATCTCTCGTCTACACCAGCTATTTTGGAAGCCGGCTCCACAGCCCTCCACAGGCTTCCATTGTTGCCTTCTCAGCATCCACCACCATTGCTGACAATTTAGAAAGATCGGTTTGTGGGCCTAGACTATTTCAGGGGAGGGGGGGCTTATCTCTGGGACTTATTCTGTATTTCTACCTATACACCGATAACCATGGACCCTTAAAGATCTGTTATATTTAAGACCTCAGTGGGAAGACGCAGATTTGGAGTCATTGAACTGCAACACTTTAGACTTGATTAACTATTTGGTTCTTACTGGCATTGACTGCAAATTTGCACAATCTACCTGTACTTTACAAACCCATTGACTGCAAATTTGCACAATCTATCTGCACTTCACAAATGCTTAAGACTTATATAATCTGTTCCCATGCTGCTCTCTGGCCCTTTGCACTTCAGCCTATAAAGCCCTAAACGGTTCCAGCTCAGCTTATCTGTCCCATCTAGGACAGGGGTCCTTAAACTAAGGCCCGGGGGCTGGATGCAGCCCTCCGAGGTCATTTACCTGGCCCTCGCTCAGGGTCAACCTAAGTCTGTAATGACTCAAAAGCACACAACAACAACAACAATCCTATCTCATCAGCCAAAAGCAGGCCCACACTTTCCATTGAAATACTAATAAATTTATATTTGTTGAAATTGTTCTTCATTTTAATTATTGTATTGTTTTTAAGTGGGTTTTTTTTTGCACTACAAATAAGATGTGTGCACCGCTCCATTGCTCTTCCCCCCCCCCCCCCCCCCCCCCCCCCCCCCCCCCGCCCAATCACACGGATGCCTCTTTACCTTGCTGGCCTTTTACCTCTTCTGCTGAGAGAGTAAGCTGTGCCGCCTAAATTACACCTTTGGTGACCGCCGGGAATTAATTCATGTTTTTTGTTTTTTTTCATATTATAATCCGGCCCTCCCAACGGTTTGAGGGACTGTGTTTAAAAAGTTTGAGGACCCCTGGTGCTTAAAGTTGGCTGGGGAGGCCCTGCTCTCAGTCCCGCCTTCTTCGCAGATGTGACTAGTAGGGATGAGAAACAGGGCGTTCTCAGTGGGTGCCCCTCAGCTATGAAACTCTATCCCTAGGCATATTAGATCGGCCCCCTCCCTCCTGACCTAGGAAAAAGTAAAAACTAGGATTTTTGAACAAGCCTTTGAAAACACAGTGCAATAGACAAACACGGAACTATGTAAGACTGAAATATGGAACAACTCAGACAGTGTTATTGGACAATGAGATTAACAATGAAGGCATTGGTTTTCATTTGTTTTTAATGGTTTTTAAAGGGATTTTATAATGTTTATTTTAAATGTTTTAATTCTATATTGTAGACTTATGGCATCAAATTGCTGCCGGGCTGTAAGCTGCCTTGAGTCACCTTCAGGCTTGAGAAAGATGGATAGAAATATCGTAAATAAATAAATACTCAACCTATAACATATACAGGGTGAGGCAGCATAACTTCCTTTTTTCAAAACTTAATAAAACCCATTGTATGAATCAATATATATATATATATATATATATATATATATATATATATATATATAAAAATAATGTAGGCGCATACCTAATTTTTTGTTTTACGTAGTTTTGAAGATCAAATTAGGTAGGTGACGTCCCCCATTCTCCATACACTGAGTAAACCGATTTCTGGCGTTTGTCATGACTCTTGCCAGCATAGCAGGCATTATGTTGGCAATTTCTTCCTGGATGTTGGTCTTCAAATCTTGTCGGTCCTTGGACAGTTCACATAAACACAGAATTTTTTAAAAAAAACCCATAGAAAAAAAGCACAAGGCCAAATCTGGAGAACGGGCCGACCACTCCAAATCCGCTCGAAAAGTAGGCCTCAACGGCAAAAGCATGCTCCTCACTGTTCCAACGCATGATGGCGACGGAACTGTGTCAGGACAAAACTTTATACTCCCGCCTCTCGAACGAGACCACTAGCGCTCCGCTACGTCTTCAACCAACTGAATGGCACTAATTTTAAAAAAGGAAGTTATGCTGCCTCACCCTGTATATTTATCACCTCAGAACCTCAGATGAGCTATTTCTACTCTTTTATTACTGTCTGGTTTATTACCACTGATATGCATTGCCTTGGGTACTTTATGAAAATATGGGATATAGGTATCTTCATAAAACAAATCAGCTTCTATTTGAGAGCAATATGCCTTTTTAAGAAAACATTCAACTTTAGTATAACATGAAAAGTTTAGTACATGTAAACTGCAAGGAATTGTAAAAATGCTAATCAGGTTTGTTTCAGATTCCAAACAATTTGGGATAATATTTTCTTTAAAGGTATGAATATAAAATTTATTTGAATACGAACAGCATGTTCATGTAGGAGAGTGATTATTTATAATTTATATATTTATATAAGTAAGGTAAATAAATTATTTATATGCAAGGAAGGTGATATTCATGCTATATGGCGTTTGTGTCGAAATAATTGTATAAGTGTAACCTATAAGTTTGTTGGTTTATAATGGAATATATATTTAGTTACATTTGCAGTAAATGTAATGATTGTTTTACACTGTTGTAACACTTCCTTGTCTTTTCTATTTTAGCAAAACCAAATAGGAAGCTGACATTTTTGTATTTGGCAAATGATGTTATTCAGAACAGCAAAAGAAAAGGACCAGAATTTACAAAAGACTTTGCACCTGTCATAGTGGAGGCTTTTAAGCATGTTTCGAGGTACAACTTAATTTTTGTGAGTTCTTTAAGTGATATGGCTACCATTAAAATGTTTGTCTTTAAAAATATTGAACTGTAATGTATTACAGTGCCATAAATCTGTGGTCATCTGATTTAGCTCATTTGTTTGACTTCCATTAATCAAACAAGAGTTTTTAGAATTTTCATGGAAGAGACCATGAACTTGGATGTCATGTTTTCTAAGTTTTTAACTTTTAAAATCTGTTTTAACTCTGTTTAATGTGTTGCAGTTTTTGAAATGTTTAGGTGATTGTGCCATTGTAAGCTGCCTTCAGTCCCCTTGTCAGGGTAAAGAAGGGGTATAAGTATGGCAAAAATATAAATATTAAATAAACTTTTTTCCATTTTCTAAAAGTAGTTAAACGGAAATATTTGACAGAAAAGAGAAACTTCAGTTACATGTATGTGTTGTATTTTTTAAAAAAATAATAATAATAAGTTGTCTATTTTATTGAGATGCTTGCAAATATTTTCAGATATGGCATAAAGTGATTATAATGAACAAAAAAGTAGTTAAAGCAGGGCCGTTGATCCTGAGTAAACTGGAAGAAGTGTGTTTCTGATTTTCTCCATATAACAAGTTATGGAGGCATGAGAATAAATTTGTATAGTAGTTATAGCTTCTGTTAACTGTCTTTACTTGCGTTGGTATTTGTGGTGAATTTGCACTTCTCCTCACTGCAGTGAAACTGATGAGAGTTGTAAGAAGCACCTTGGCCGAGTGCTCTCTATTTGGGAAGAAAGGTCTGTTTATGACAATAATGTATTGGAACAGCTTCAACAGGCTTTGTGTAAGTAAACTTCAGCTCATTCAACTTCAGCTCCTATGGTGGACATATGACAACTACTTTTTAGATGCGTAATTTTTTTCTCATTTCTAGATGGTGAGAAAAATCCACGGAAACGTACATATGACCAAATAAAAATTGAAGACAACTGCTCAGCACAAAGCTCTTCAGGTGATCCTCCACAGGTACAAATAGTCTGCAAAAGTAAAAACTGAGCCCGAGTCTTGTTTCCAAGTTTTTGTTGGACACATTTTTTTGCACTTTGAGTTCTTCTGAATGAAATGTGTGTATGCACATTATTTACTTATTCTGATAATCTGAAAGAAGGAGGCCAGTTGTAATCTCTTGGTTCCTTTGATAGGGGATAGCAATTCTGACTATTCGCATATTTTTGAACTGTGATTCCCAGTGTGCCCTAAAGAGGGAAAACAAAAACTCCCCCCACCCCTTCTGAAATTTTTCAGGTTAAAAAAAACATGGTTTACTCATGAATTTTAACTGGTGCACTAAATCCCCATGCTATGTCTATGAGAAGCAAAATGTAAACGAGTCCCTCCAGAACTGCAAGCACTATCTCTAGCAAATTTTGACAATTTATTCACATTGTCATTACTTGCAGCAATAACCGGTACAGTGGAAGCAGCCAAGTTGGCGCACCCAGTTGGTAAGCAAAGCCTAAGCGACCCGGGGTGGGGGGTGGGGGAGGATTTGAAGGCCCTCATGAAAGGGTTAGTTGATAGGGACAGAGCTGCAGGCTATTTAAGGCTGCTTTGCCCCCCTGCTGTGATTGCTTCAGCGTGAGGTAGGAAGCAGTTTCCTAATGGGAAATTAGGCCTTTTCCTCCTTGCTCCTCCCCACTTTTTCAGAGAGTAGGGTTCCCATTGCTATGCCTTTGCCCCAAGGAGACACCCTACAATTTGGGCAGTTTCTGCCTTTGATATTTATTGGCAGGGATTTCCCTGCAGAGCATAAGGGCTGGGCCGGAGGTTTGGGTGGCTTCACTAAGCAGAGTTTCCTTCCTGGGCTGCCTCAAGAAGGACATCCTGTAACAGAGGAGGTTTGCCATCCCTCCTCCACTTTAGAATAAACTTTTAATAAGTTGTTGCCTGGGTGAGTCACACTCTCTCAAACTCAAATCATGATTGGTAGGCCACAGAGGAAGGTTGTAGACAACTCCTTCCTTTAAAATAATGCTTAATGAATTGTTGTCTGGAGGGAGTCACACCCTCTCAGCCCCAGGAAGGCAGAGGCAATTCCACTCATTAACTATGTCAGGGGTCCTCAAACTAAGGCCCGGGGGCCGGATAACGCCCTCCAAAGTCATTTACCTGGCCCTCGCTCAGGATCAACCTAAGTCTGAAACGACTTGAAAGCACACAACAACAACAACAAAAATAATCCTATCTCATCAGCCAAAAGAAGGCCCACACTGCCCACTGAAATACTAATAAGTTTATATTCATACTTTTTTCATATTATAATCCGGCCCTCCAACAGTTTGAGGGACTCTGACTTGGCCCTCTGTTTAAAAAGTTTGAGGACCCCTGAACTATGTCATCACATACTGTGGGCTATATTTTATTGCATGCCTCATGTTAGGAGTTGAGCTTTGGCCTCATGGTTTCTTTTTCATGTCAGGAGCGACTTGAGAAACTGCAAGTCACTTCTAGTGTGAGAGAATTGGCTGTCTGCAAGGATGTTGCCCATGGGGTGCCCAGATGTTTTATCCTGTGGGAGGCTTCTCTTATGTCCCTGCATGAGAAGCTGGAGCTGATAGACGGGAGCTCATCCCACTCCCTGGATTCAAACTGCCAACCTTTTAGTTAGCAGTCCTGCCGGCACAAGGGTTTAACCCATTGCACCACTGGGGGCTCCTGGTCTCATGTTAGGTTTAGCTTTTGCAATTATATTGGGGGGCAGGGTAGCTCTCCTTTCTTTCAGACCTCGTGTTAAATCTTGCCATTATATTGGGAGGCATCCATCTTGTTCTAGACATTGTTTTCAGGTTTTTTTATTTATTTATTTCGTATACTTCTACCCCGCCCTTCTCAACCCCCAAGGGGGGACTGAGGGCGGCTTACAAAAGGCACAATTCGATGCCTGCACAGTAATACAGATAAAAATATAGCCAGCAATTAAAACGGTTTCGACAGTTAAAACAATCAATATACATCACAATCAATAAAAAACCAATCTTATGCTCAACATTCGCAACTCAGTCCATAACTTCATTCCACAATTTTCCAATCAGTCGTCATCCTTTATTTATCTATCTGCCAGATTGCCCGAACGCCTGGTCCCAAATCCACGTCTTCAATTTCCTTCTAAAGGAAAGGAGGGATGGCGATGATCTAATCTCCCCAGGGAGTGAATTCCATAGATGAGGGGCCACCACCGAGAAGGCCCTGCTCCTCGTCCCCGCCAATCTCACTTGTGATAGAGGCGGGGCCGAGAGCAGGGCCTCCCCGGAGGGCCTTAAACTCCGAGGTGGGACGTAGAGGGAGATGCATTCGGACAGATACGCTGGGCCGGAACCATATAGGGTTTTGTATGTCAAAACCAGCAGTTTGAATTCTGCTCGGAACTGGATTGGCAGCCAGTGGAGCTGTCACAACAGGGGGGTGGTATGCTCCCTGTATGACGCTCCGGTGAGCAATCTGGCTGCCTCCCGCTGGACTAATTGAAGTTTCCAAACAGTCTTCAAAGGCAGCCCCACGTAGAGTGCGTTGCAGTAATCTTTATAACCTTTGCCTGTATATTAGGAAGCTTTCATTTGTAGGCCTGTCTCCATTTTGTTCAGATCTCATGTCGGGCTTCACGCTCTTGGGCTGTTGTTGCCTCAGACTGGGGCCAATCTGCAGGAGGCCACATGGTGTTCTCCTGTATCTGCCTGGTCAGGCTCATGGCCTAACAAACGATAAGGAACTGGAATTATTTCTTACATGGAGAACTCTATTGAGCCATTTTAGGAACCAGAAAAATACAATATGAGAAAGACCCTCATATTATATCTCCCAGAGCACCCAGGGGGTTAGGCCCAGCATGCTACCTTCCCTGTGTATTTATTAGGCCTGGGTAACAACGCAAAAATTTGTTTCTAAAATCGATTTGCAATTGGGGTTTTTTTTTGTTTCAATATTTAAAATAATTACAAAATTTTCCCCTAAAAAAAGTTCGGTATTTACGAAATTTCGTAAATATTTACGAAACGTTTCGTTAAGATGGCGGACCCCCCGCGCATGCGCAAAATCACTTCCGAAGCTTCGTTATTGGCGCGGGGTCGATTCGTTAAGGTTATAACGAATCGATTCGTTAAACGGCGGACGCGTTTGCGCATGCGCAAAAGCGACTTCCGAAACTTCGTTATTAAAACTTCGTTATTAATAACTTCGTTATTACATATTTTGTGTTGGCAAAAGGAGCGCACTGGTTGGAACTACACAAATGATGAGCGAGCAGTGTATGTAGCACTTTGTGTTGGCAAAAGGAGCGCACTGGTTGGAACTACACAAATGATGAGCGAGCAGTGTATGTAGCACTTTGTGTTGGCAAAAGGAGCGCACTGGTTGGAACTACACAAATGACAAACGCACACACAGCCACCGAAGACTCTTTTATTTTTTAGAATATTTTTTGTATTTTTTTAAGAATAAAAGACAGGTATTTTTAGAAAATATTCAAAAATGGAAACTTAACCAAAAACTGGCCCTGATGTGGACCAAACACAGCCACGAGACAGGGCAAATGAGAGCACACACCAACAGAAGAGTCTTTTCTTTTTTTTGGAATATTTTTGGTTTTTTTTAAGAATAAAAGGCAGGTATTTTTAGAAAATATTCAAAAATGGAAACTTAACCAAAAACTGGCCCTGATGTGGACCAAACACAGCCACGAGACAGGGCAAATGAGAGCACACACCAACAGAAGAGTCTTTTCTTTTTTTGGAATATTTTTGGTTTTTTTTAAGAATAAAAGACAGGTATTTTTAGAAAATATTCAGAAATGGAAAATTAACCAAAAACTGGCCCTGATGTGGACCACACACACCGACGAGACAGGGCAAACGAGAGCACACACCCAGAAGAGTCTTTTCTTTTTTTGGAATATTTTTGGGTTTATTTAAGAATAAAAGACAGGTATTTTTAGAAAATATTCAAAAATGGAAAATTAACCAAAAACTGGCCCTGATGTGGACCAAACACAGCCACGAGACAGGGCAAACGAGAGCACACACCAACAGAAGAGTCTTTTTTTTTTTTAGAATATTTTTGGTTTTTTTTTAAGAATAAAAGACAGGTATTTTTAGAAAATATTCAAAAATGGAAACTTAACCAAAAACTGGCCCTGATGTGGACCAAACACAGCCACGAGACAGGGCAAACGAGAGCACACACCAACAGAAGTGTTTTTTTTTTTAGAATATTTTTTGTTTTTTTTAAGAATAAAAGACAGGTATTTTTAGAAAATATTCAAAAATGGAAACTTAACCAAAAACTGGCCCTGATGTGGACCAAACACAGCCACGAGACAGGGCAAATGAGAGCACACACAAACAGAAGAGTCTTTTTTTTTATTTTGTTTTTGTTTTTAAGAATAAAAGACAGGTATTTTTAGAAAATATTCAAAAATGGAAAATTAACCAAAAACTGGCCCTGATGTGGACCAAACACAGCCACGAGACAGGGCAAACGAGAGCACACACCAACAGAAGAGTCTTTTCTTTTTTTAGAATATTTTTTGTATTTTTTTTAAGAATAAAAGACAGGTATTTTAAAAAAAATATTTAAAAATGGAAAATTAACAAATTAACTCACAAAAACCGAAGGAAGGAATGAATCCAAGCAAGGAATAATAAGCACTAAGCAGCAAGGAATGAATCCAAGCAAGGAATGAGCAAGGAATGAATCCAATCCAAGCAGTTGCAAGCCAACCCAATGCAAACCCTCCCGGACCTCTTCTCTTCTCCCTCGCCCTCTGCAGCAATGAGCTGTACGGCCGCGCGGAGCCGCTTTTAAAGGGCTCGCCGGCCAATCAGAAACAGCCACGGTGCACTGCTTGGGTGCTTGGGAGCGCCGGATTGGCTCCCAGGGCACCAGCAGCCTCCATCCCATTTACGAAACGGGCGGAAGCTCGTTAAAACTATGGGGGTTGCCGGTTCGTTATTTTTAAACCCTTCCGGGTTTGA